CTGCTCCAGCACCCACAGAAGGCTGCGCTGTGGCTCCCTCTGCTCTGTTCACCCCTGGGTAGTGAGATACGCACTAAGCCCTGAAGAGCCCGTCATCGAGCACGAGGTGGGATGATGCTGCGTTGAGACCTCATGTCAGTGAGTCAAACACTCTTCAAGCCCCTCGAGAGCAGCCTTTGGGCAGGAAAGACAAATCTACACCCAGAATCCACGTCAACTCAAGCAAAGACGAGTCAGTTAACCCTGGCAGAGTAGAGAAAAGCCAATGCAGTCAACTTGGCCACCAAGTCAGTCACTGGCTGGCCATCAGTTGCTGGAAGGTTGGACACCGGCAGTGACAACAGCAAGATCTGCCTTGGTGGGTGGGAGTCCATTCTCCTGCACCACACCTGCCAACATACCCACGTGCTGCCCTCTCTGCCACCACGGCCACTGTTAGGGTACAGTAGGACTCGTCTCCCCCAAAACTCATGCAAGATGATTAAACTCTGATGTCTTGATGGTTGACAATCAAGGGTGAAGGCTTGATCTAATTGTGGGGCTAGGAGGTGAGTCTGGTGGGGAGTGTTCAGGTCGCTGGAGCATGCCCTTAGAGGATGGCTCTCAGGAGAGGGTTGATTATTGTTTGACTTCGAGTTCAGTCTGGATTCTCTTTCCGTCTCCACTTCCTAGCTCACCATGTCATTGTTCCTCCACACCTGCCATGGCCAGCCTCCCACGGACACCAGAAGTAACCCACCCGATCCTGAACTGGGGCTAGCACTATGGCGTAGCAGGTAAAGCTGCCACCTGCAGGGGCTCTAACATCTCAAATGGATGCCGGTTTGAGTCCCAGCTGCTCCACTTGTGATCCAGATCCCTGCTAATGCGCCTGGGAAAGCAGCAGAGGATGGCCCAAGTGCCTGGGCTCCTGTTCCCATGTAGGAGACCTGGAAGAAGCTCCTGGCTCCTGGCTGTGGATTGGCCCAGCTCCAGCTGTTGCAGCCATTCAGAGAGTAAACCAGCAGATGGAAGGCCTCTTTTCCCCCTGCCCTCTGGCCTATAAATCTGCCTCTCAAATAACAAATAAATCTAAAAACAAACAAACAAACAAAAAAAAAACCTCCAAACTGTAAGCTGATATAAACCTTTTATTTCCCAAGAAGCTCCTCTAAGCTATTTAGTTAAAGTAAGGAAACATGGGTTAATACAGCCTCCTCACTGGGCCAGCACAGGAGGGGCACAGCGAAGACCAGCGCACAGCAACTCCAAGTCAATCCATCTAGCAGGTGTACAGTGTCTCCTCCATGGTGGGTGCTCTCCGGGGGACACCGACAACAACACGCAGCTCATCACACTGTTCTGCCCACCCCCATAGACCCTCACAGCCTTCCAGTAGTTCCCTTTCTGGGCCCCTAAGCAACCAATCCCTGGGCCTGTGTGTTTTTACATCAGGCCACTCTGCTGGGACCACGAGAGTGATTCGGTTCCTAGTCAGGTAGCAGTGTCAGCCAAATCTTTAATGGGTTTGGCTGCACCACTTTCCCCAGCGCACAGCTACCCAAGTAAGTGACGTCGGGCCTGTTTGGGGAAGGGGAGGGGACATCAGGACTATATTGCTGCAGTATCGCAGGAGCCGTCCTCTAGGGGACCTGACCTCCAAGTCGGGCTCTAAATCTGGAAATTGAATCAAGTCTGGAAGCCAGACAAGGTATTGTGACTTTTCATAGGAACTGCTGCCACCAACCTCCTGGTCTTTCTTCCTTGATTTAATTTACAGCTCAGCCATTCTCAGTGTGTAGTCTACAGAGCCCTGGGGTTTCGCAAGGTCAAAATTACTTTTATAATACTAAGATGCCATTGGCATTTCTAACTGTGTTGACAATCGCACTAATAGTGCAAGAGCAATGGAGAATAAAACTTCTGGTGTCTTACAGACTGAGCCAGTCACTTGTTGTAGATAAAAAAGAAAAATAAATCACTTAAGAATATCCTTAACAAAGCAACAAAAAAATTCAGTTCTATTAAATAATGGCCCTTAAATCCATGTATTTTTTTAGCACTTCCTGTGTTCAAATGGAAACTACTGCACACAGAAGTATCATGGTTCTGCCAGCAAAAGGACTTGTGGGGTTAAATTTTTTTTTAAGATTTATTTATTGGGGTCAGCGCTGTGACTCAGTGAGTTAATACCCTGGCCTGAAGCGCTGGCATCCCATATGGGTGCCGGTTCTAGTCCCGGCTGCCCCTCTTCCAATCCAGCTCTCTGCTATGGCCTGAGAAAGAGGGTAACAGATCACATTTACAGACAGGTGCTCCCTACCGGTCAAGTATGCCTCATTCAACCAAATGCTCGGTCCCACCTCCCCTGTATCCGTCCTGGCCATGCCTGTTGGCAGCTTCTGCAGCGCCTCCCCTCCTAGGCCCTCACATGTCTCTGACTGGGATTTGTTGCAAATTGGCTCTATTTATTGGTCCTGTGGTTGGGGGTGGGGGGGAGGCAGGTTCCCTTGGCAGCTGTCCCAGGGATAGTTGTAGCTTCGAGCCATCACCAGGCGACGCTCCTGGCAGCGTGGCCCCTCCTCCACAACATCCATTGCAAAGTTCAGTTCCGTGCGGACGTACGAGGCAGAGTGGAGCGGCGATCAAGACCCCAGCGCCCCGGCTTGGAAGCAAAACCTCTGGTTACGTGACCTTGGGCAAATTCCTTAACCTCTTTGAGGCGTTTCTTCACCTACAAAATGAAGACACGGTGTAACTACCTGAGACAAGGAATGTAAGTACTTGGTATAACGCCTAAGGGCGTGGTCGCTGTCCCTGTTAGAATAGATCCGAAAGAAGCCTGGAAGAGCTGCCCCGGGGAGCGGACAACGAGGTACACCACTGTGCAAGGTCTTTCGTGCTCTGGGGGATGTTGTGGCGGAGGCTCCAGGATCAACCCTGGGAAGCACAAAGGCTGGCCTTTTGGGCCCATTCTGTCCCCACCCTGCCTCGATTCCAGTGGGGGAGAGGCACTTAGAGAAGCATATTCACTTTCAGGCCACTAGGGGGCCATTTAGTTGCCTGCAACAAGAATACGCTAATGGTTTCTTAATGGCTCAGGCACCAGGGAGATAGGGCTCAATTAGATCTGAAAGCATTTTGAGTTCCTGGGGTAAAAGACACTATGTAAATCCCGATAATAAATAGGGCTTATTGATGACAGGTTAAAGAATCTGGCACTGTTTGGTTTGGAGAAGAATAGGGTAAGAGGAATTGAATAAGGACTCCAAGTACATTATTCCTCAGTAAAAGAGTGGCATGCTGTTTTCCGACTCCACTGGGTACAAGCAGGAAGAAATGCTTAATTTGCAGTAGAAATGGAAATGCAACATGGAGGTGCGTTGAAGAAAGGGGGTGGAAGGAAGCTTTGTATTGGCCTTGGGGAAAGAAGCAGGATCTGTATTGCCAGATGAGATCAGGGGAGAGAAGAAAGGACAACCTCAAGTCAGGGATTTTAACCCAACAGGCTGCCCAGCCAGACCAGCTCCGGCTGGCCTGGGAACAGGGTGCCAGAGAAGTTCTCCATTAACCTACAAAAAGCAAAACACATTCGGAACTTCCAATGCCCTTGACATTTCTAAATAACAAAGACAGACTTTTCCTAATGGCATCCAGCTGGCCTCGGTTAGTGGCAGACCCATACCTGGGCTAGAAGCCTGGGGTCCCAGCCGCGTGCTGGGGAGGCAGGGCTGGTGTGTGTGTGTGGGTGGTGGTGGGGGTGCTTCCTCCTGGGGAGGGGTCTGAAGACCAAAGGTTCCTAGAGGAAGAAGGAAGTCCTGTCAGAAGCCAGGTCAGGCTGACAGTCACTGGGCCAGGAGGACTCACCCACAGACCCCACTAGAACCCAGTCCTCCCGGCCCACACACTCACGCAGGCACCCGGGAGGTCCACACACCCTGTGTTCTGGGAGCACAGGAAGTAGCATCATTCCAGGAGGAGGGAAGCAGAAATTCTGGAGCCTTACAGAGAGGGAAGGAGGGGAGGAGGCGGGGGGGGGGGCAGGAGGAGGAGACCACCGGGTTGTCAGTAGGCAGGAAGTCCAAAGAGTGGGCTGGAAGCCCACTGCCAGGCCCCTGACCTGGAGCCAGGGAAGACATATTTCAAGTGGGAAGGGGACAGAGAGAGGAGGGACCATCCCCAGCCCCCACCACAGGTTCTGAGGCACCAGAGGATTAGGGAAGAACAGAGCCCTGAGCGAAGGCAACCCCCTGAGTCCAAATCAAGGCCAAACCTGGGGAGTCCGAAGGCCAAAAGTGGGAACGTGGGGACCTAGGTGGCAGGTGAGTGTCTAGAGCCAGTTAGCCCGTGGCTCTGTCTCAGAGGCTCCAGCAGCTTTGGACGGCCTGATTCCGGAGCACCGAGCGGACAGGGAATTGGGAAAGTTCCAGCAGAATTCTGGGTCCAGATCGCAGCCTGGACTGCGAGAAGGAGCGCGACCAGCTGAGGCCTCCCCTGGACGAGCACCCGGCTCCTTAGGGGTGAAGGGACCTGGGAGACCTGCCCAGCAAGTGCGCGGAGCGGGGCGCCAGCCGACAGCGCTAACGCGGCATCACCTGCGCGCGCACACACACACCCGCGCGCACACACACACACACACACACACACACTGCAGGGGGTAAGCTGAGGCCAGGGAGCCGCAGCCGGGATGCTGCCGTTGCACCTGTCACGGCGGAGCAGGGACGCGCCCGCGGCCGCAGCTCCGCGCTCCGCCCGCGCTCCCCGCCCCTCCGCCCCCCTTTCAGCTCCGCACCCCGCCCCGCTCTACGCCGTTCCCCTTTTAAAGAAGCGCCCGGGGCGCCAGTCCGCGCCGCGCCAGCCGGCGCGGGGCCGCGGCGACGTCGCCCTTTTAAGAGCCCGCCTCCCGTCACCGTGTCTTAATGGGGCGTCCCCGCGGGCGCGCGACGCCCGGCCACAGCCCGCCTCCCCGCGCGGCACTTCCGGGCCTCGGCGTCGCCCTTTTAAGAGGCAGCCCCAGCGGCGCGCTCCCCGCCCCGGTGGCCGGCGCGCGAGGCGGGGGAGCCGGCCGGAGCAGCTCGCGGTCCGCGCGGCCACTGGAGACCGGGCGGCCGGCGGCCGAGAAAGCAGCGGCGGCGGCGGATGGGGACGCGGAGTCGGGCGGCTGTGGCAGCTGTGGCTGTGGCGGCGGCGGGGAAGCAGCTGACGGGGCGGCGGCGGCGGCGGCGCTGGCGGCGGTGACTGGCCCAGGCCCCGTCGGCGGCCGCAGCGACGCGGTGGCGGGCGACGGGCGGGCGGCGTGAGGAGCGGCGGCGGAGCGCCGAGCCGCCGGGAACCGAGGGCGTCGGGCCGCCCCTGCCCAGTCCTCGCAGGCCGCCAGGCCCCCCTCCAGCCGGGGCCGTGGAGCACCGGGGCAAAGGCCGGGGCCCCCCCATGAAGGAGCGCGACTCGGCCCCGGCCGAGCGGGGCAAGCCGGCCACCTACACCGGGGACAAGAAGGCGAAGATGGCGGCCAAGACCAACAAGAAGTGGGTCCGGCTCGCCACCGTGTTCGCCTACGTGCTCTCCGTGTCGCTGGCCGCCATCGTGCTCGCCGTCTACTACAGCCTCATCTGGCAGCCGGTGGGCGCCGGGACCTCGGGCGGAGCCTCCGGCCCGCCCCCCGGCGGCTCCAACGCCACCGGCCCGTCGGGGACTTCGGGGGCGGCGGCGGCGGGGCCCAACACCACCCGGTCGTCCCGCCGCGAGGCGCCGCGCGCCGCGCCCCCGCTGCAGGCTGCGCGGCCCGCGCCTCCGGAGCCCCCTGCAGGCGATGCCCCGGCCGGGCCGCTCGAGCGGCCGCGGGGCCAGGACGAGGACCCGGAGGAGGCGGCGGCGGCGGCGCCCGGGAGTCGATGAGCCCCTCCGCTCTGGGGGCGGCGGGGAACTACCCTCTGCAAGCCCGGAGGCTAGACTTGGCGGCCGGACGGCGCGGGGAGCCCGTGGGAGTGCCCCCCGCAACCCCATGATCGCCCACTCAGTCCAAGAGCCGGTGGCCCGCAGCCCGATCTTAAACAGCCACGGGACCACGATTCGCCGGGGGATCAGGCTTTGGTCTTCCGAGGACCGTTCTGCGCCAGGGCCTTGAGCCATAAGGGGGATGGGGTGAAGGGTGGAGATCCCAGCGAGGAACCCTTGTGTGCCGCTCGCTCGCTCGCTCGCTCTGGTGTACCCTACGCGCAGGGGTGTCTCGGGCTTTCCCCTCCAGACTCAGGGGAAAGAGAGAGCTGTTGGCTCCGCAGTCTTCGTGAGGGTTTTTTTTTTTAATATAAGCTGAAGCTCTCGCCAGGAGGAGGGCACCAAAAGTAGTGGAGCTCAGGTACGTCAACCTAGTTGCAGTGGCCAGAGATGCATTTAATTTATAGATCCCTGTATATAGTTGTCGACATATGCACTAGAAGATGTAATCACATAGAAGCGCAGGACCCCTCCCCCACCCTGGGTAGCTACCGACTGATGGGGTCACACCAGGGCTGGTCGCCGGGCCCCAAAGTACACCTAGCCAGAAGGGCACAGAGACAGTTCCTGTCATCGCCCCTCTTTTCCCTGCCCCACCCTCTCATTTCAGAGAGAGAGAGGTTTATGGCTTTCTTCCACAAACGCTGTGATGGTTCTCAGGCTGTGGACAACCTTAGCTGTGAGAGCGGGGCCGGGGCGCAGGGGATGCACTGATGCCCTGCTCTTCCCGCCCCAGTCCCCACACCACAGTGGCTTCTTGCTGGGGCCCCAAGTGTCTGGATGCGGGCCAGGGAGGAAGGCAGGGAAGAGCCCTGCCGCCGCCGGCTTCCACGGCCACCCTCCCCTCTCGGAGGTCTTTTTAGAAGAGCAGGCTTTTCTAAGGAGAGTGGCCGGCAAGTGTGTGTGTGTTCCTGCTCCTCAAGGTCCCCTCTCGGTCTCGTCTTTCTCCCCTTCCTCAAGCTCTCATCTGATTCACCTTCGCGCTCCCTGTTCCTTGAGTCTGTAGTGACAAAGCAGCCCTGCCCTGGGACAGCACCAGCGCTTTGATGGGGTCCTCCAGCTGTAGGACTGGGGAAGGCCGGGGGGAGCTTCCGTAGCCCAGCCAGGCCAAGGCTGAATGCTGCCTGCAGCCGTGCAGAGGGGTGGCGATCAGCTCTGGGGCAGCGGAGTGGTCCTTCCTCAGTGTGGATCCCACTTCCTCCTGCTCTTGCAGTTGGGCAGTTGAGTGTGGGTAGTGACAAGATAGCAAGCCCTCTGGCGTTTCCTTTTTGGGAAATGCACTGGCTTTTTTTTTTTTTTTTTTTTTTTTTTTTTTTGACAAAAACCTGACCCACCTGAGTCCTGAAGCAGTTTGTCTTGCAGGCTTCTGGCCTGCAACCCGAGCGCTGAGCCAGGTTTACAGGGGAACAGCCTTGCTCTAAGCCATGTCCTGTTGTGGGCACAATAACAGAACTGAGCTGTCGCAGCCTCCCAGCTGGCTGGCAGCACCCCCGAGGTCTCTGGCCTAGAGGACATTTCTTAGGAGCCGACCACGACTTCAGCATTAGGAAGCGTGGGAGGCCTTTTCCATTTTTCGGTGGGAGACTAGAGGGAGAACCACAAGATGCCACTTTATAACTATAATAGCTGTAATTTATATTTACTGTGTGAATTTTTAGTCCTATATTTTAATAATTTGTAAATTGATCTCTTATTCCAAGAACCCTTTGAACTCACAGGAGAACGTCTGGGAGTCCAGTTCCCTGTCCCCTTCCTGCCCCCGCTTTCTGGACTGTTTAGATCCACTTTGGGACGGATCAGAGAGGCTGGAGAGACCACTCGTAGATCCAGCTGCTGGCCTCCCGACCCTCCGACGCCTTCGCTGGAATTGGGACATTGGCTCCAGCCCTAGCTGTGAACATAACCAGAGACATTATTTATAATTCAGCCATTCAAGATATACCTGTACTCAAAAAGTCCTGTATATTTTTTAAAAGTTTTATTTTTCAGGTGAACAAAAATACATTCTAAGAACTCTGCGTAAGCTGTGTGAGGCGATCATTTCTCTCAGCATTACGTGGTGGGGCAGTAGAGACTGAGGGGTTAAGTGGCCTGAGATGTGGATGGGTGGTGATGAATAGGTTTAGGAGGCAGAAGCAATTGGCCAGCTGTCGGCAGTGCCCAGTGGCTGGACTGGATTGATTAGTGAGGGCTGGCGGAGCCCATCCTCACCGGGAAGCCGCCCTGGGGCCAGCAGAGCAGTGAGCTCTGGCTCAGCCGCTGGAGAAAGCCAAGAAGATGCTGAGAAGATTGCCGTTGCCAGACTGGGGGCAGATGTGTGGCCGAGGAAGCTGAGAGCCCGGTAAGCGTGAATGTTAAGATTTATGGCAAACATTTAGCTGGCTGACAGCCGTGGCTGCGGCCAGGACGTGCTGCCTGATAATATCACCGTTCTCACCTTTAGACTGTTGGCCCCTAGATAACTCCAGAAGTGCTTACACGCTAACACGGGGATGGACAGACCCATGCATCCTCGGCGCTTGGCCAGGTCTTGGGCCTGCTGCGGAGGAGGTGAGCGAGCCGCACGGCTGAGAGGTGTGGGTTGCTTCAAAGGTGAGGCTTTTCCTCCACTTAAAGCAAACAAAGAAGACATGTGGGTGAAAAGCACAACTATAAGGGATTAGTTATGCTGCAAAATACACGGGAAGCAATCGAGCTCAGCTCATTATTAGACAATGCTGCCCAGAGCAAATCCGGAGTGAGACGTCGGTGTCGGTGGGGCCCCCTGAGGCCTGCACTTGAGCAGAGCTGTTGGGGGGCAGCCACTGTGCTTTTCCATCACCTTGTAGTCTGCAGGGAGGCGAGGGAAAGGTCCGCCCTTCCTTTCTTTCCCTCTTCAGCCGACACAATGCTTTCTGTGAGAGGGCTTGGTAAGGCAGAGCAGAGGGGAGTGAAAGAGTTGCTGAGTGCTTGGAGCCAGCCCCTCCTTTCTGCAGATGGTGACATGTGGCTTCTGCAGCTGCACACGGCTTCACGTGCTGGGCACAGACAGCAGGCGCTGCTGGCCGACCCCAGCAGGGCCTGCCTGGCTGGGGAGCAGCGGCAAGAAATTAGCTGTAAAACTGGCCCCCCAGTTCTAAGCCAGGAAGGAGAGTTCTGTGCACAGGGTGGGGTGGTTACTGTGCTACCACTGCTTTGCACTGGGACCACCAGGATGCTTCCCAGGTGCCTGCTGCCTTGGAAGTGACTGTGCCTGGATTCGGAGGAAGGAGTACCCTCCTTTGAGGGGAAGGTTTGGGAAGTCGGGGCCGGGGAGCCCTGTAGACTGAGTTGATGTCCTCTCTGCCCAGCCAGAGCTGAGCTGTGAGCAGGTGTTTCTTGGAAGTTCTAAGCATAAGCCACACCTCCTCCAGACGATTCTAGATTTCTGCATGGCATGAGACCACAGTTTTGGAAGCTTTTCTGGCTACCTTGTTTGTCCGTTTTCCCTGGGGAATTCTAAGCAAGTGTGCTCCTCAGTCGAGTATTTATATCCTGCTTTGCAATGCTGAATGCGGAACATCTACTTGTTTCTACATGCTTCTTTAGGGAGAACTGGAAGGTCAGGTCCCCGACTTTAAGGCGACCACAGCCACTTCAAAGAGGTGATGATAGGCCTCCCTCTCCTGGCTGTGAGAATGGAGGGTGTTTGTGGGATTGCAGTTCAGTAACAAAAGGGGCGGGGTGGGGTGGGGGGCTGCAGTGGCTTGGCTCATTTCTCATGAGCAGTGCTGAGCGACTGGTGCAGAACCGAGGTTCTGCGAGGATGTGTGGACCGCTTGGGACAGCACCTTGTTGGATGGAATTGGCCTGGCTCTTCTGCCATTGTGGGAGTCCTGTCATAGTCCAAGTTTGTGCCTGTATCCACAACCCGCAATCTAATTCTATTAGGTAGATGGCTAAGAGGAACCCCTGCAAACTGTGGCTTGTCCTGACCTCTCCGGCCTCAGTTTTTCTATTTCCAAACCGAGAGACTCAGGCGTGCCCTTCTCCCTGGTCCCAGGTGCCACAAGTCCACAGCTGTGTCCCATGTGACGCTTAGTGGATGCGACCGAGGCTGTGCCTCTGTGCCCCAGCCCTGTGGTCTGATGAGCTATTAAAAACACCTACTCCGTAGACATGTTTTTGGTCCACACCTGTTTCACTCACTGGCATAGCCTCTGGTTTGCTGCTGCCAGAAAGCCTGTGTTATACTTTTTGCTGTCCACATTGGTTAATGAACAAGTGAGCACAAAACCGCCTCCTCCCCACATCCCCAGACTCACCAAAGCTCTCTATCCTAAGGGCAGAAAGTGTCGCCCATTTGTGCCAGCTGCCTGGTCAGTAAGGAGCGCTCTGACCCAGCCAGTTCCCTGTGTCCTGTTGGGTTCCATCAGCGTCTCTTTTCATCCCCCAGAGGAGGAACTAGAGACTACCACACAGTCTCTGCCTCGAGGGTTTACAGTCTTGCCCACAGGAGATAGTCCTTGGTAACAACTTGTCCTATTGCCCTATCTTCATAATCTGCTTTGGAACTAGCTTATGTATTAAATAGCCGAAGGCATGTTTCCTATAAACCACTATCAGGAACTAAATAACTATTTGTCCTTATAAAAAAAAAAAGGTAATTGGGTTGATTACGTTCTCCGCTGCCTCATTGTTGGGAGAGACTTCCCCCACTGTGCCCCTGGGCCACCTGCCCTCTCAGCTCTCTGGCTGGTAGCCTGGGCAGTGCCGAGTCATGGCAGTGGGGTCTGGGCTGGCAAGCGGCTCACAGCATCAGGAGGATGTGGCTGGGGAGGGACCCCTGAACTGGAAGATAGGAACCCTGGGAACTGAACAATGGCATTAGTGGAAAATCCTTGACCTCTCTCTCTTCTGCCAACCAAGTGGGAATTCATGAGGTAATAGGTGTGAAAGGGCCCTGAGACCCTGGGAATAAAAGCACAGTGTGTACACACCGAGTAATGCCGTCTCGAGGGAACGTCTGCCCCTCTGGGAAAACCTGATGCACGACGGCAGTAGGAAGCTGTGGGCCCTGACCAGCAGCGTTGGCATCGCCTGGGAGTTTGTCCAGGCTGTGGCCCCCTTGCTGTGTGAGTGAGCCTCAGGAAACAGAACCTGGCACCCCAGCTGCCCAGCCTGGCCCTGGGATTCTGGAGCCTAAGCTTGGGATGTTTCTGTTTTGACAGATGGTTATCAACGTGACTTGCGACCCTTTTCCTCTCGCTTGAAGCCAGCTGCCCTGCTGGGGGAGGAAAAGCTGTGTCCCCAGAGTTTGTAGGAAAAAGGAAAAAGCCTCCACCGTCCGTTAGTTGTGACAGTTGAGGAGAAGGGACCCTGGAGAGCTCGTTAAGGAGGAGGCAGGCTGGCCAGGGTCCCCGCCTCCCGCCCGCCCAGCAGAGGTACTGCTGTGTGGGCCTCACCTCCCGCCCGGGGGCCTGCAGCTTCTGCAGCCAGTCCTTAAAAGGAGCGGTGGGTGCCACGTTTGTTCTTTCTGGTGCCAGGCCTGCGCTGTCTCACTTCCCCGGCGGCAAGTGGATTCTTAATGAGAGGCGGTGACCGTGACGTAGGCCCAGCAGCCTGGGTGAGAGCCAGCAGGTTCCAGCCTGCTGCTCCTCTGGCTCCCGTTCCCAGCCTGGGGTCTCCCCGTCCAGGGGGGCTGTGGTCACCCGCACGGCCCTTGCTCGGAGCGCTGACTGCCCTTGCTCAGGAAGAGGTGCCTGTGAGGTCTGCGCGCAGATAAAGGATGAGACTGAAGTGGAATGGTGCCTCCAGCCTCTCCGACTCCCTGGACAACCCCACCCCCAATTTAGAAGACAGGAGCGCATGGGAGTTTTGGCCACTTTCTTTGCTCTTGGGGGGCGCCAGTGCCATCTTGTCCTGTTCTTGCTCACTCTGAGGCCAGGGCCAGAGCTGCAACTGACTGGTGACCAGGCCATCCAGACAGGGGCCTTGGCAGGTAGCTTCCAAGGGCCCCCAAGGCCTCCCCTTGACCATAAGAACGTGGGGACCTGCTGCGGCTTTGAGTGGCAGAACTTAGCCCTGGAGGCTTGGCGCAAGCTCGCAAGGGGGCTGGTTTCTGGGGAAAATGAAACAGCAAAAACTGGTGTGAGATGGCTACTGATGGACGCAGGAGGAAGAGGAGCAGGAGGAGTGGGAGAGGCAGCATGCAGGGGGGCGCAGGTGGATGGAGCCAGTGACAGGACAAAGAACACTCCCTGGAAACCACTAGACCACCCGGAGGACCCAAAGTAGCCAGCTGCCCAGAGAGCTGGCTCAACAGTACCAGGCAGCCCTCCCTTCCCTAAAACGGCATTGGCCCCAGCTAGAGAGGAGATAAAAGAGAAGCCAGAAAACACAGACAGAGGTCACACCAAATAGCTACTTCATTTATTCAACGAGTATTCACCGAGAGCCTTTCGAACGGCAGGCTACCAGTGACAGTGTCTACTGCGGGCCGGGTGCATTTTGCATACTCTTGTCCTTGTTTTCTCAACAGCCCTTCAGGGTGGGAATTACAGCCCCACTTTGCAGACAAGGGGACCAAGGCTTTTAGAGGTTAAAGTCGAGCACGGCCACCCAGCTGCCTGGACCGGGGGATCCTGGCCTGTGCCCGTTCCACCCTGTCGTCCAACACGTGCCTTTCTTGCAACCCTGCTCCACTGCTCCTTCTGCCAAGGTGAGGTGGGCCTGGGACACAGGTGCCTCCGCCTCTTCCGCCCTCCAGCCCCGTGCCTTGGTTCCTGATGGCCATGTGAAGCCCTCCCACATTTGAAAATAGATTTGTCCTGGATGCCTTCCTCCTTTCCAACCAAGTAGAAGGCTTCCAGCCTGACCTTTGAACACAGGAGCCAAGAGGAGATAGAACCAGCTCTACATGGCCCTGAGGTCGGCGGGGGCCGTATCTAGTGACACCTGCCTCCTGTTCCATCCTGGAGCCACAGTCAGGTTGGGTAGCCGAGGGCTGCCACCACAGCCACTGCCCTCTTGAGGACAGCTCAGTGCCACCTGCCCACAGTACAGTCTTCCTGTGAAAGCAGCCTGCACCGGTCTCCACTCTCCAATCTCGTTGCTCCCCCAACACCCCTCCTCCTAACATCCTTCCAGCCCTATTTCCCCATAGCCCTTCTCCCTGACTCTCTTCTGCCCTGGTCCCTGTGTGAGGGCTGAACCCGGGCCTTGTCCCACTTCTCCGTCCCCCTCCCATGCTCACACGTCCTGGCGGCTACCCTGTGTGCAGGCACACCTGTGAGTTGCAGCTCCGGGGTTTGGGAGCAGACTGTGAATCTTGAATTTAAGGTCTCTGCCCGAACCTAACCCCATCCTTTGCTCTAACCCAGCCCTGTCCTTTGCCCGCCATGGGGCCCAGGGCCTGTGCCACATTCCAAAGCCTTGTCCTTGTGACTGGAAGGCAAGAGGAAAACTTGAGCGTGGAGTCTCCAGCCTGGCCAGGCTTTTCCAGAATGCCTGTGATCAGCCCCACACTGCCCTCTTCTGCCCTCTTCACCCCACCCCATTCCTGCCCTCTGCAGCGTCTTCCCCCAGCCCTGCAGCCAGCCAGGGCCTAGAGTCTGCCTCTGTCCCCAGCCCTCCTTGTGTCCTAGTCTCGGCCCTTACCACTCGCATAGTGTGGCCCAGCCCAGCAGCGTGGGCCTACCTGTGCCTACAGCAGCGCTGGCTCCCAGCCCTCCCCAGGCTGAATTAGAGCCGGCATCATCCTTGGCATGCCGGTGTGAGGACAGCAGTCTCAGCTGCTGGGAGGTACCCACTCCCCATGCGGCCACATCGAAGGGTGGGGGGATGGAGCTGCCAGCCAGCGAAGCCGCCTGAGCTGGGACCCCACTGGCCTCCCATCGAACTGTGGCCAGGGTCCAGACCCTCCTGGGGGCCTCAGAGGCCCATGACCCTCAGCAGAGAAACCAGCATGGCAGGGCCAGGGAGGAGGGGAGCAGAAGGGACCACGTGGTGAGCTCCAGGCAAGGGCGTGGGAGCAGAGGCCGGGCTGGTTCCCTCTGGGCTCCCACAGCACTCCTGCCCCCAGCCCTGTCACGCACCTCAGGCCAAGAGCGGCCCCTGCTGTGTAGCCTGGACCTGCTGGATGACTGGGTCCCTTCCCTCCCCCTGCTGGCTAAGTCACCGTCGCCCACCGGCTGCGGTACTGGTCGTGGGTGCTCAGGAAATGTTTGTTGAATTGAGAGGAAGCCACAGCTTGTGCGGAGTCTGGATAATTCCGTGGGCCTCAGGGGAGGGGCGGGAATGGAGACTAAGTGGGAAAGACAAGTTCTGATGTCGCCGCCCTTAGTTGGAGTCATTGTTTATCTACTGAGCTTCTCTGTTTCTCTGGGCCCTTGCCTTGCAAGGCCCTGGTGGGGGTGGGGGTGGGGAAGAGGAAGTAGGAGAGGGCAGGAAATGACCCTGGGCCGCAGGAGCAGGCCCTGGCCTCTGCCCAGGGTGCACGTGATGCCTCAGCGCCAGCCGTGAGTGCTCCCCACCGCCCAGTCCACCCCATGCCAGGGGAGCCACTCCAGGGACCCTCCTTTTCATAGGGAAGCCCGATTCTGCTTCTCTGCTCCCAGCCCGGGCAGTGCCAGCTGTGTCCTTTCTCCAGGCCTCGGCCTCCTCTTTGGAAGAAGCAGGTGACGGCCGAGGTTCTGCCAGCTCAGCCATCCTGTGAGCCTGGGACCACTCATCACCTGGCCGCGAGACAGGAGGGTGAGAAAGGTGCTGGCTTGGGTGGCCAAGGGGGCTTGCGGCTGCCGGGAGCTGAGGGCATCTGCTGGTGAGGGAGGCCAGGTCTTGGGGCATAACAGGACCAGGAGGGCCTGGCTGTCAGGGTGGAGATGGCTCATGGCCTGGGCATCAGAGCAGGGCTTACGGGCGTGGGACACCAATGGCCAGCATGCTTGTGCTTGCACAGGAAAACACACGGGCCCACGAGGTACAGGGCCCAAGGCAGCCCCTTGCCCTCACAGGATCAGTCTGCTGGCAAGCTGACCACACTGCTCAGCCGGACGGGCACGAGCCACACAGAAGACTGGGCACTGAGTCCTTCCCTCCTCCTCTCCCTAAAGCAGCCCCCAGCTCCCAGGAGCTCTGCTCAGCACCGTCCTGCAGGGCCAGCTCCCCCTCTCCTGCCCCTTCCCCCTGTGCCCCTCCCCCTCTGCCCACTTCCTCTGGGAGGCCTGCCTCTTGGGGCCAGGGCCTGCTGCGCCCCAGCCCTGCCAGACCTGCCCTCTCTGGGCTCTAGGGGGCCTGTTCCTTTCTGCAGCTCAGAGCACATCCGGCCCTCCAGCTCAGCCTCGGGGTCGCTGCACCCCGGAGGCTGCCGGGAGCCACTGGGCCGGGAGGCAGGGTTCTCCTGGGCCCCGGGCCCGGGGCTGAGAACACACGAGCTCTCCCCAGGCCCAGGGCTGCCGGCCCCTCCTAGGGAGAGGTCCAGGGGAACCAAGTCAGTCTGTTGTGGTGAGCCGGGGGCGGGGCTGCTTGTGGAAGCTCCTGACTTCTCTTCTGGCCGCTCCGGGGGTGCTGGCGCTGGGCTGGTTGCTGGAGTCCTTCCCAGCCTGCCCGGCTGCGCCCCGCTCTGCTTGTCGGCCTGTTCCTCTGCACTGACAGCCGTCCTGGTGCTCTGGCCTGCCTGAAAGGAGAGAGCGGCCCAGCTGCCTGGCGCATTCAGGGCTCGTCCCACCCGCCCGCAGGGTGGAGGCTTGAGGACCCACCTCCTGGCTTTCCAGGTCCTCAGCCGTGTCTTCCTTCGTATCCCACCTGTGGAGCACAGCACGGGGCAGCCCCGCCCCCTGAAAGTCACCCCTCTGTAGCCTGTGGCCCCAGGGGGCAGCTGACATCTGAGGGGCTCAGAATGGACCCAGGGCAGCCTGACCTCGAACCCCCAGCCCAACAGTCTCCTCTGAACGCCACCCGCTCGGCCCCTCCCGGCTCCCCAGCTGCTGTTTATGGCCAAGCCTGCGGCACCTGACGCTCTGTGGGGACCCCAGACGTGTCCCTGCCCGCCTGCGCTGCCTGGGAAAGGCGCACCTCGCTTCCCGGGGGGAAGGCAGCTGCTGTAATTACCGCCAGCCTCCCTGGGCACCAGCTCCTGGGCTGCGGCTGCCTCTGCTGATGGCCTCTCCCCGCATCTCATTAACTTGAGCCAGGCAGCAGGCAGCGCAGAGGCAGGGGCCCAGGGACACAGCAGGCACCTGGGCCCACGCTGGGGCAGGAAATCAGGACACCCAGATGCCCTGCCTTGATTCTGTCCCCTGTTACCTTCGGGCCCTGCCGGTCAGCCTCTCCTTGCCCCGGGCTTTGCTGCCTGTGGCTGGTGCCGCTGAGGGTCTGCTGGGCTGCCCACCCCGACCTGCAAGAGAGGGTCCACAAATCCAGGAGAGAAGGGGCCCCAGCACCCAACTAAGCCACCCGCGGGCAGCGCCGGCTCCTCCTCCTCTCCCAGCACACCTTTGCCATCCGGGGACAATGGCGGGGGCTGTAGCTTCCGGTGGCTCCTAGGACCTAAAGGGGTACAAAGGAAACAGGGACAAGGTGCCGCATCAAGGACGCGAAGCAGGAACGCTGGTTCCTGCAGCACCAGGAAGCTGGTGGGCTTTTCTGCCTGGGGTCACGAGAGCTGGGTTCCTGGGCTGGCTTGGCTATTCCAGTTTCCTGAGCCCCGAATCCTCGGGTGGTGGGTGGGGTGCCTGCAGCGGGCCAGGGGCGGGCCGGCCAGCACCCTGGCCTATCAGGGAGCAGCGCCCCGGGAGGACCCCGGCACATGCCCCTGAGCCTCCTCAGGGACCCCGCGGTGGGGAAGGAGGGTGTTCTCCTGTGCTGGCTTTGTGCTCTGAAAAGAAGTGGGAAAGCGAGAGACCTAGAACAGAGAGGATGAGGGAGGGGACGGGATGGGGGCGAAGAAAGCCAAGAAGGTGCAGGGTGAGGGGGCACCTGCTTACCCCGTCTGCCGCCCGCCCTCACCGGGCCCTCTTCCCTAGGCTTGCCGCCATCCTGTAGCCTGTGTAGACAGAGGAGGGAGGGAGGTTGCAGGTGGCAGGCAGGACAGAGGCTCCGCGCCTCCTGCAGCCCCAGAACTGAGGACAGCAGGAGCAATGGGGGACTCAGGGTCTACACAGAGCCCTGAGCCCGGAGCCTGCCCTGGCGGCCCAGGCAGGGCCTCTCCAGCCCGGGGAGGGTCCCATCAGCCCTATTCCAGCCCCACGTGCATGTCAGCCAGCAAGCTGCCTCGCCCTGCCACCCACGTGGGCTTGGCCTTGTCCATGTCCCACGGGCGGCGCCAGTCACCCTGTGCATCTCTGTGCCGGGCCACGCGGGCCTGGTCCACCTGCTCGCGCTCCTGCTTCCACTGAGCGTAGTCCCAGCCCACCTCTGGGGGCGCCCTGAGTGGCCGTGGAGGGGCTGGGACCCGGGCTTCCCCTGCAGCCTGCAAGAAGACGTTGGGCATGGTGGTGAGTACAAGCAGAAACAGCGGACCTAGAGATTCCCTTCCTCTCTCAAACTCTCCACACCCCATCTAAAAACTAGGACTACGCCATGTCTAACAGGCTCTATTGGCCGCGGGCAAGCTTCCTGTCCACTTGTTAGCTGAGTGTTTGGGGAAAGTAATTTTGCCTGTCTGTGCATCATTTTCTCATCTTTGAAATGGGGATGGCAACAGGGCCTACCCACCAGGCTGTGCCCAGGTTGGGAGGGGCACCTAGACCCGGGAGCAAGAGCAAGGGCGAGAGGCTGCTGCCACCTAGAGGTCACAGCTGGCTCGTGGCCAGTCACCTCCACCCTCCGCCCACCAGCAGGGATAGATCAGATGGGGGCAGGATCACGTCCCCCCCTGCCCAGCCCACCCCCAGTGGCCAGAGAGGAGAAGGAGCCATGGGAATTCTTGCAGGTGCTGCCCGGGGCTGTGTCCCTACACACGCTGGACAGACACATCTGACTGGGTTTCTCTGCCCTCTGCAGATGGGGAGCTCCACGTTCACGCCTGGTGCACTCTTGAAGATGTACCTTCTGCGCAGAGTTCGAGCCGACGGCCAACTGTGTCGGGGGGCTTTGGCCTCCGCCCCCTCCAGGTGACCCGTCTGCCCCGGGGGCCCTTGCTCTGGTGGGCTTTTCACTTACGATCCGTTTGGCCTGGGGAAAGTGACCGATGGGCAGTGCGACCAGGCCAGGAAAGAAGAGGCTGTCCACCAGCACCTGGACTCCCCTCCCTACCCTGCTCACCTTGGCCCTGTTTTCCATGGTCACGGCCAGGTCCACGCGCTCCCCCAAGAAGAAGGCGCCCACGCAGCCCCCCACGTCCTCGTCCTCCAGCATCTCGCCGGCGGCATCGGGTCCGAGGGGGCTCCTTGCCCAGTTCCTGCTGACCACCCGCTTCTCCTGCACAACGAGGGCCACGTGGGCAGCACTGGGCAGGACCCGGGTAGGGAGTCCTCTGGGGGCTTCCCTGGGCCCAGGTTCCAGCCTGACCCTCCCTGGAATGCCCACAGAGACGCCGACTCCCGCAGGCATTCACATACCAATGACATTAGTTATCCAGCGCCCAGGGCCGCCGGGGGCCCGAGATGCCACAGCGGCTGGCGGTCAGCTCTGAGCACTCAGACAATAAGGCCTTGTCCCTCAAACACTGCTCCTGGTCTTAGCCCCAGCTCTCCCCCACTTCTTACATTGGAAGCCCCTCAGGTTTGGGGTTAGGAGCAGCTTGTGCGTGGGGCGTACATGTGGGGCTGAGGCCCTCGGCTGGGGACAGTGGCCTGGGCTGCATGAGGCTGGGAGCTGGCAGCAGCCTCCAGAGGGGTAAGTTGTGTTGTCCCCCACCATCTGGGCCTCCACCTCTTTCCACCCTCCCTGGCTCCCAGGGTGAGGCTTACACCAGGAACCTGGCTGATGGTGACAGTGAGGCTGTTGGGCTGGAGGAGCCCCGGCGTGGTCACAGCCATGCCCCCCTGCTCGGCCTGCCGACGGTCTTCCTGGATCTCCTAGGGGAGGGCCTGGGATCAGCACAGGCCACAGCCCCCAGACGCACAGAGACACAGACGCGGACAGGCCTACACAGGGAGACACTGGTGGGACACCAGAGGGCAGAGGCACCACGTCACAAGTGCCTGACACCCTGCCAAGACTCCAAAGCCACCGAGTCCACCCTCACCCTGGCTGCAGGCCCAGAGGCCACAGGGAGAGGCTACAAGGCTGGCAGCCCCCCGTCCTCCGGCCCCTGCCACAGCTCACTCACCTGGTACCTGCGCAGTAAGGCCTGGTTCTTCTTGCGCAGGGCAACTATCCTCCGGTCCAGCTCAGCATCCTTCTCCTCCGGCCTGCTCATCAGCGACGCGGCCCTGGGCGGCCCCTGCAGAGGGCAGGGGACCCAGGCTCCCGGCTGCTGCCCAGCCACCACCATTCCCCCACCTGCACACTCATCCCCCAACCTTATTCTCACCACGCACAGCGCCAGGGTCCACAGGAAGAAAGAGGGCTGTTCCCTCCCATCCCCACCATGCTGGGCCTGTCTGCCTGCACCTGCCTCCTCCGGGTCGGGGCCTGACACCCAGGGCAGGCCGCGGGCCGCCCCTCCCCCGCTCCCCAGAGAGCACCAAGCAGCCTGGAATGGGAGTTATAAATGGCTCTGGCCGCAGAACCTGCATGACTGGGAAGCTGCCAGGGCACTGGGGAGGTCGAGGAGGGGGGAGCTGTTTGGCTCCCAGACTCAGAAGTGCAGGAAAAGAGAGGCCTCGCATCTGTCCTGGGCCCTCAGGCCCGGGCCCCCACTCTGCGGGCCTGTGCCCAGCCTGGAGAAAGAGCCGCCCCACAGGCCCAGCCTCTCCAGGCCTTGAGCCGCTGGCTGCCAGGGCAGGAGAGGTTGGCAGCCCCACCCTGGGCGAGCGGGGCCTCGGCATCAAGATCCCAGGTCGTCCCCCCGCCCCGCCTGGCTGCAGGGTCTCCGCTTTGGGCACCAGTACCCCTGCCCGGGCCGCCTCTGGCCTGATTGCAGCCCTCTTCCTCCCAGGCCCAGCTGTCCCCAGCTGCCCCCAGAGCATGGCTGCCTGGTGTCCCAGCCTCCTCCCAGCCCCAGGAAGCCCCCTGCCCAAGGCGAGGTGCCACTCACAGCCGAGTGCATGGCACCAGCGGGCACCGAGAGGATTCCAGAGCAGACCCTGGGGGAGCCGGAGCAGGAGGGAAGCCGGAGCCGCCGGAGCCGGGCCTCTGCCCGCCTCTCCCTGCCGGCTCCACTGCTCAGCACACGAGATCATGTTGTGATTACAAAAGACTCCTCTGGGCTCCCAGCCAGGAACGCCGCGGCCTCCACCCCCACCCTTCCACTCGCACAGGGGGAGGACCAGGGAGCCGGCAGCAGCTGGCCCTGCCCTGCCCCAGCGGCCCAGACAGGACGACAGGGTCGTCCCCCTGGTGGTCAAGCCCACCCAGGAGGCCTGGCCGCCAAGACCCAGCCTTCCCCTGAGGCCGTGTGCCCCAGGCCTGGGGCTGCCCGCAGACACGATGGGCAGCCACATGGCCGGGTCTCTCCCTTGAGTAGCAAAAGGCCTGCAGAAGAGCCGGCTTGGCAGGTACCTCCAGGGTGCCTCCCTCTCCCACTGGCTGCCCCATCAGCACTGGTGCAGGTGACACGGGTCAAGTCACAGCCCCAGGCCCCCGCACACCCGGGACAACACTGTCAGTCACTCACTCCTCTGGTCCTCTCAGCACTCCTGGTGTCCAGCGCCTCACGGTGGTGAGCTAGGCCCGACTCCAGCTCCGTCCCCACCCCGGCCCAGTGCTGCTGGCAGCCTTCCTCCCACGGGCTCCCTTGGAAAGCCCTCGCTCACACCCCTGAGCCTGGCAGTTCCCTCAGGGGTCCTCGAGGCCCTGAGGCCTGGGGTGCGGGGAGGGGGGGACCTGGTTCTGTTTCAAGCATGGCAAGGCCCCGAGGCCTGTGTCCGAAGCCCCTGCATCCCTGATTGACCAGGGCTGTTTCCATGACCCCGGGCCCCAGGCGCCAGCGCTCCAGCCTCTGCTCCCCTGCAGCTCCCCCTCCCTCTCCCCCACCTGGGCCCCACACCCCATCCTGCTCCCTCGCACATGCCAGCTCGGCTCTCTTTCCTTCCTGCCGGATGTTCCCACTGAGTCAGACTCATCTCCCCTCCGGCGACAGTGACACACCGGGCTCCTCTCTCGCACACTCACGCACACACACACACACACACTCCTGTTCTTCTCCCCGCTCCCTCTGCATCCTGCCCCAGCTCCGCCTCCACGGGCTTCAGGGGCCCCAGGCTCCCCCTCGCCTGCCCCTCGCCTGCCCAGCCTGGGAGAGAGACCTGATGCTCCCCTTTCACTTTGCAACTCCAGGTGGGGACGGGGTGTGCCAGTGGAGGCTGCAGGCACCCCAGCCCCTGTTCCCAGCCAGCAGGCTCCAAGTGAGCAGCAGCCACGGGGGGACTTACACAGCCATCCTGCAGCGAAGGGCCTCCTGGCTCTGTAGGCTGCAGCCTCACGTGCCCAGGACAAAGCCACAGCCGGGTGGGGCCGCATTTGCTGGCCATGTGCTTCCCAAGTGTTACTCACACAGTATGTCACATCTCGGAGCAGCCCCCACATTCCCCTCCTTTCTCCCGAAGCTGTGGTTTGCCCGTCTGCTCCCACAGCAGACAGAGGCTCTCTGAGGGCAGGAGCCCAGTGCCGAGCGCCTCTGGGTGGCCAGGGCCTGGCAGTGTCCCTGCCTGCTGCAGTGCCTGCCCCAGGGAGTGCTTGCAGAAGAAAGACATGAGAGAGACAGGCTGTCTTGTCCCTGGGCCGTGACTGCCTCTCTGTCCACCAGGAGCGCAGGCAGCCCTGACACAGCTTGGGGTGCTTCCCCCTTGTACTGGGGAGAAACGCAGGGGCAGCCGGCTGGGACACAGGAGGGCCTCCGGCGCGGTGTTACCCGGGGACCTCGGCGCCACCACCCAGCGCAGCCACTAGAGGGCAGCAGAGTTGCAAAGGCCTGGACTTGGCGGTCGGGGGCGTTTCCTGGCCGGCCCCTCCCGCCCCAGTCCTCTCTCGCAGGTCTTCGTAACCCTCGCCCCACGGAGCTCCAAATCACTCGGTTGTTAAAACCTTGTTTTACGGATGAGTGAAACAAGGCCCAGAGGGGGCGCCATCTGCCCGAGACGCACAGCCCCCGCGTGTGCACAGGTGAGACTTGAGGCCGGGCGCGGCCCCCTCCCTGGGTGGTGGCCGCCAAGAGCTCCCTGCGCCTTTCCTCCTTGAGGCCAGAGTTCCCCGGGCTGCCCCTCCACCCTCCCAGGCCCACCCCGACCATGTTTGGACTTTATCTGCTATGGTAAGAATACAGATCTGGAGCCGACCCTGGGAACAGGATGGCGGGTCCGGAGTCCAGTTGAGTTGGGGAAGAGGGGTGGGAGGCCTGCCGGGGCGGGGCGTGCAGACTCCTGGCTCACACACCCAGTCCCAGCCGCCAGAGGCCCATGCTGGGGGAGCAGCGGCCGGGCAGAAGCCCATGCAGGTGCAGGAGCTGAGCCTGCATCCCGCGCGGTTACAGAGGGGGCGGCCTATCCTGGCAAGGGCTGTGGCCTTGCCCTTCTCCCCGAACTTGTCACAGGTGAGGGAGGGTGTGTCCCTCTGTTGCACTCATGAGCTAAAACAAAATGTTACAAAAACTAGTGACAGTCACACATGAATTTTATTGAAAATGAGAAGCAAATGAGAGGCAAGGTAACCGATCAGGACCTGCCACCGATCGGGACCAACACTCCTTACCAGAATGCGGCCCCCAACAGCGGGTTACGCAGCTTTTTATAGTATTCTGTCCACTAGGGCTCACAATTTTGAACCGGACCCCTGGTATGCAGTGAACAATAAAGAGAAAAACCAGAATATGGTTGTAAGATTCAGTTAACAATAACAAACCCAATAGCAGATCCAAGATAATGGTTGTAAGATAACAGTGGAGGACACATTTCGGTCAACCTAGTTCCTAGGAATTTGGGCCCATATAGTTTCCCAAGGTACAGCCTTAGATGTTATCGAGCAAAGCTAATATGTACAGAAGCAAGAGATCTGCAATTGGCTTTTAGGCACACTCACTCCATTTTGACTGATTCTACGCCTCCTCTCTCTGGTTCCACTTATAAAGTGAGGTGTTGATACTGGGCAGTCATCCGGAAATAAAAGGAGGTGACATCCAGGCCTGCAACCACGTGTGGCTCAGAGTGAGCCTCGGGCAGCTCACTGCCCCTTCCAGATGCTCCCTGCACAGCGTCTCTCCAGGCCCCCAGGCTGCCTCCTGCCTGCTGTCAGGGGTGGACAGCTCTGAAGACTTCTGGGTGATGGGGACCGTGTGTGACCCGGTAGGGGAGACCCTGCGGCCTCCCCAGCACCCTCTCTGGGTCTCCCTTCATGCCCCCTGCCCAGCTAGGCTTCCCTGTCTGCTCCCTGCCGTGCCTGGACCCTGAAGGCCCTAGGTGCCGGCTGCCATCTCTCCCCAGCCAGCTGGGAGCTGCTCCTGGCCGCCATCCCCACCCCTACCAAGTCCAGGTTCAGACTCTCATCCCCAAGCCCAGGACTTCTCCCTGGCAGGGGGCTGAGTGCTTGGAGGTCACCCATGCCTCCTGTCAGCTCTGGGTGGTGGAGCGAGCCCAGCTGTCAGGTCTCACTCAGGGGAGAAGGCACCAGACGCTGGCTTGAAGCCCAGTGAGCCTCTTCTGCAAATGCACCCCTCCCTCCACCCCAGCAGGGCCACTCCTGTCTCAAGATCCTGCTGTCCTGACCCCTGTGACTACAAGTCTGCACGTAGGCCTCAGTCAGCCAGCCTGGCTCTGGCCAGTGGGGGGTGGGGTGGTGGTGACTCAGAGTCAGAGGTGGGGCTGGGACCAGCCCAGGGTAGGTGCCAGCTGCCAGGACAAAGTCTGGGCCACACCATACCTGAGAGCACACATGGCATGACAGGGTGGCATCTGGAGGCCGAGGCAGGCTGGACTGGGACCCTCTGGGCACTCGCAGCTCGGGGGAGGGGAGCCCCAGCGTGGCACTGCAGCCCTGGGCTCTCCCTTGTTGTGCTGGGTGCTTGGGGAACTCACAGCGGATTCCCAGAACCCCCTGCCTGGATCCCCACCCCAGAGTTGCCCTTCCAGGGCTTGCCCACAATGTGCCACTAGCTGGCACCTACTGTGTGCTTCTCCTGGCCAAGGCAAAACAGGAACAAGGAGGTGAAGACCCCGGCTCCAGGCCGGAGGCACCTGCCAGCAGCAGACACAGTAGCCGTAGCCTGGGCCCACGAGGAGTTTTCCAGAAGCAGCAGGACTCGGGCAAAGGGATCACAGGGACGTGAGAGGGCACCCGTGGACGCACGCCAGGGCGACGCGGGAAGAGGCAGGGCCCTGGTGGGCTTTCCCCGCGAGAGGGCACCCGTTAGGAAAGCCCCAGGCAGACTGGGGAGGCTGCAGAAGGGCTCACCCAAGGTCTTAGAGCAGGGGCTGGTGAGGTTCCAGGAGCTTTAGCCAGCCTGGTGCAGAGGGCTGCTGGGCTGGGCTTAGGGTGGGGCCACTGGCAGGCTAAGTCCAGAGAGTCACTGCAGGGAGGTGGCGTGCCACGCCCTGGGGAGTCCAGGGAAGGGGTGAGCAGTGGAACCTTCTAGAGGCCTCAGAGCTTGCGGGTGGCCTGGGGTGGGCACGGCAGGCAGAGGAAGAGCCAAGACAGCATCAAGGTCTCAGGTCTAGGGGCCTGCAGAGGCAGGGAGCAGGGGGGCAGGTGTGCAGGTCCCAGGGCGCTCCTTTCTCTGGGCGGGGAGGAAGGAGCCCCCACCGCCAGGCTCACCACAGCCTCTGGAAGGCAGAGAAAGATCTGGCAGTTCTGAGGGGTGGAGAGGACAGGAGACAACTAGAAAAGCCAGAGAAAGATGGGGGAGCTGGCCAGGCCCCCTAAGGAGAGGGAGGGCCTCTGGTGTGGCTGCGGGCAGCCTGGCTCCCGGATTGTGTCCAGCCTAGAGACAGGCAGCCCGGGTGACAGACAGCACCGGAAGTGCCGAGCCTGGGACGACATGGTCACCACTGGGAGGGAGGCAGGGTGACCCATTGACTGGATGTGCCGGGCACTATCCCCGTTTTCACAGAGTCCTGCATTCCCGAGCATGCAGGGCCTGGATGTGTGGAGGCCCTGGGGAAGGCGGGTGTTGCAGGAGGCCGGGCAGGCTCTCCGCGGCTGTCAGTGACGGGCTCCGAGTGACGTGGAGGCCGCCGGCAGGCAGTGCCGCAGCACACGGAGCCGGGGGAGGACAAGGCAGAGTCAGATGGGTCAGCAGTGCTGACACAGACAGCAGTAGCTCCTCGCACTCCCAGCTGACGCGGACGAAGCCCTCACACACGTGATGGCATCTGTCCTCGTCAGCCTCCGAAATCTGACTTAGCTAGCACAGACAGGTGCTGTTGGCGTCTCCTGGGAGACCAGGGACCTGACCTGTCCTGGAGTCTCTGGGGATGGGAGCACTCCCCACCACCCCAGAAACCCAAAGGCCCACCGCCAGGGCCTGAGCCACCCTCCCAGCACGGCTCCCCAGGCGGCTACCCCTGCGGCCATCCCTCCAGGGACACGACAAGGTGCACCCTGCCAGCCAGCCCAGCTCTGATGACAAGCACTGGAGGTGGCAGAGGGGCTGGGACTGCACCTCTGGGCCTCGACTCTAAGCCTACACGGCACCTTCTCCCCTGCCTGTCGGCTTGCCCTGTCCTCCCTCTCCCTGACCCCAGTCCTCTCAGGCCAGAAATATCTCCCGTGGCCCCAGAGAGCTCCTATCTTCCCCAACTCTGGGGCTTTCAGACGAGGAAGCCACCTGTGTTGGCCAGGCACAGTGGGCACCCACTGTCCATCTGCAGGCCGTGTGCCAGGAGGGCCAAGGGGACACAGCTGTCACCGGGGCTCTCTGTTTGCCCTCCACATCCTAGGGCTGGGCAGAGGGAAGAGGGCCATGATCAGATGCACTGTGCGACAGATGACACCAGGGTGCTCACCTCCTGCAGGCCTCCTGGCCCACCCAGGGCCCCCGACTGCCCCTGGCCCTTCTCTGTCCACCTCTCTACCCAAGGCCTCGGGACCTGCACCGCCTGCCTGCCTGCCGTGCCCGGACCTGGGGCTCAGGACTGACCTGGGGATGGCAGGACGGGGCTGGCTGAATCTGGGAGCCACAGCCCTGGCCCCGTGCACTCCCCAGCCCCCACATTCCCACTTCCCTCACAGGGACCTAGGCCTCTCTTTTCAGCTTCCTGCCAGAGGCTGGGACAGGGATGTGTGTGTTGGGGGTGGAGGTGGGTCATGGCATCAGAGTCCCTGATGGAGAAGAGGGAGACGCCTGGGAGAGGAGGGCTGGTGAGGCAGGGTGGGGCGGGCACAGGAAGTGCTGTGTTGTGGGGGCCCCCAGACCCATGC